CCTTGAATAGAAGAGCGAGTCTAGGATACAGAGTACAAATCTGAGGTGACAGATAGGAACACAGAGAGCTCCCCCAGTGATAAGAGAGAGGGCGCAGATGGGGTTAGGCACACAGACAATGGGAGCACTGGAAGATCTCTTGTGACTGTCAGGTTTCTCAGTGACACAGAAATCTTGGTCATTAGCTGAAAGTGAGGGTCGAAGGGGAGGTAGTCGAGAGGAGAAAGTATGAAATGGTTACCTAGGAGAGGGGGAGAATGAACAATGAAAATATAGCATGCCTTCTTGGCAGAAATAAAGCCCACTTATCATTTGTTATCATTAATTTTAAGATGAGCCCACTCTCCATGGCTGTGTACACCCATGTTCCACCTCTAGAATACAGGGGGCTGGGCATGGTGGCTCATGTCTGTAATCCCAGCACTTTGGGAGGCTACGGTGGGGAGATCACTTGAGGTCAGAAGTTCGAAACCAACCTGGCCAACATGGTGAAACCCCATCTCTACTAAAAATACAAAAGTTAGCCAGGTGTGGTGGTGGGTGCCTGTAATCTCAGCTACTCGGGAGGCTGAGGCACAAGAATTGCTTGAACCCCTGAGGTGAAGGCTGCAGTGAGTCGTGATTGCACCACTGCACTCTAGCCTGAGCAACTAAGTGAGACTCTGCCTCAAAAAATAAAAAGAATTAAAAAATTAAAAAAAAAAAAAAAAAAAAAAACAGAGGGGTATGGGAAAATAGTGGCCAAGTAAGTATCTTGAAGTGAGAAAGGGATAAGAGCATTACCAGTATAATGCAAGAACCAGATATGGTTAGACACTGCAATTCACACTTGAAAATCTAAGAAACAAATTGGTAAATTCAATAGATTGTAGGTGCTGGTGAAGGATTGTTGAATTCAGTATCTTAGAGAGAGTGAACAGGAAAGACAGAAAGGGTAAAGGAAAGGGTAATTGAAACTAAGTTCATGGAAGTGTTGTAATTAATGATAACGACAAGAGCTAAATTATGCTTCTCAAACTTTAGTGTGCATATAAATCCTCTGAAGTTCTTATTAGGTACATATTTTGATTTGGTAATCGGTTGGCAGAGCCTTAGCTTCTATATGTCTATCAGATTCTGTATGTCTATCAAGCTCCCAGTGACACTGATTCTATTGATCCAGGGATTGCATTTTTAAGGGCAATGATCTAGACTGGTATTTCTCAGCCCTAACGGTAAATACAACCCTTAGGGAGTTTGAAACACTGATGCTAGACCACCAGCGAATTGGAGTTTTTGTGGATTGGATTTAGCTTCTCTGGGTTGAATTTAGCATTAATGTATTATAAATGTTCTCCACGTTATTCTATTGTGAAGCAGGGTTGAAAACTTCTGGCCTAGAATGTGTGACCTTGGAGGATAAGATCATTGCAGGATGAAGGGTCATGGAATTGAAGGACCAAGATGTTGGAAGTGTTATCTTTGTGGTTATTAAACTCTTCACAAATTATACTTTAGATAAAGTGACTGTTAATCCAGAGGCCTGTAAACAACTACAAAAAAAGTCGAAATTGGTTGATATAATCTGATGGCATAATATTCAAGGCAAAGATGTTTAGAGAGAACAGTCTGAAAGAGACGAGGCTGAGCCAGGACAACACTTACCCACCCCAGATCCAGTGCATGTTGGATTTGGGAAATGGAATATCCACCCCTTCAGAAGACTCCAGAAGAAACAATGGCATCAGAAAGACCTAGAGTTTAGTATGAGAAAAATGTGAAGGAAACAATCTAAAAAGACACTGAAATTTTAGAACATTTTCATGCTGTATCCCAGGCAGTATGGAAGAGTGTCAGGACTTTTGGAGCTGGTGACGTGCAGCCCCTGGGATTACAGCACAGGTGAGGGATGGACTGCAGTCCTGACTCAGCCTCTCATAGAGATTACTGTCTCAGAGCAGAGTGCTGATATAGCTGGCAGCCCTGGGGTATCAAGGACTGGTTGGGAGTCTTGTCAGAAGCTGGAGGAGGCCTGGACCCCCCTCTTCACTTCCACAGCTATTCTCTAGCTGTAGAACCCTTTATTTCTCGAAACAAAGGTGTAAAAGCAAATCTAGTGTGGAAAACGCATAAAAGCAGAGTTTCTGTGATTCAAGTGGTAATTAGAAGAGGAGAGCAGTGCCCCCCACAGGGGCCTGTCAACACTCCTGGGGCTTCTCAGGGGTCCTGAGGTTCAGGTCAGAACCACTGCTCCAAATAGGCTAGAGACACCCAAGGCAAATGTGTCATTATCTATAATCGAGTAAAGATCATGTATCCAACAATAATGTCTCTTCAAATCTTTTGTCAACCATGCAGATTGAGCACTTCCTTCTGTGTAATAAACTCTTCATATGAACAAGTGGTTTGAAATATCCCTTGGGATTTCCTTATGTCATTTATGATTAGAAGAACATCCCTGTTAAACTGACATCATTTACGTTGGAGAAACCATACTTTTGAATAGCTGTGTGTTCTCCAGAAGCAAATCATGAACCAAAGGTATGAATGTGAGTAGTTTTTTAAGAAAGTGCTTCTAAGAGAACCCTGTGAAGTGGACGAGCAAGCAGGAGAGAGAAGAAACCTAGTACAGGTTGAGTAACCCTTCTACAGAATGCTCAAGACCAGAATTGTTTGGACTTCAGGTTCTGAAATATTTGCATATACATAAGGAGATATGTTGGGAATAGGATCCAAGTTCAAACACAAAATTCATTTGTTTTATATGAATCTTATGCTCATAGCCTGGGGGGAATTTCATACAATATTTTAAATAATTTTGTGCCTGAAACAAAGTTTGTGCATACTGAACCATCAGGAAGCAAAGGGGTCACTATGTGAGCCACTCATGTGGACAGTCTGTGGTTGTTTGGTGTCATGGTCTTCCCTTGGGGATGCTGAATAAACTCTGCGTTGTGCACCTGCATTTTGACCGCAACCAGCCATGAGGTCACGTGTGGGATTTTCTACTTGTGGCGTCACGTTGGTGCTCATGATGTTTCGGACTTCAGAGTATTTCAGATTCCAGATTTTTGGATTAGGTATGCTCCATTTATAAGAGTGTCAATTCATGTCAATTCAGGTGCAGTCTCAAGGCTGTAGCTTCAGCCTCATCCCTGCAAGGGAATTCTGGAAAGTTACAGCTCAGTTTCCGACCCAGTGGGACAGAAGCTGTATTTCTGCACCCACTAGTCAATGGCTAATGAGGAAGTTGTAAAAACTCCTAGGCACTTTCAGGCAAAGACAATCCATGAGTCTGAGGGCTGTTCTGCAGAGAAGAGGGTCAGCTGTGGGTACTTGAAAGAGAAGCACACTAAGTGCAGAAATTGCAGAAGGGCTGCAAGAACACCTGTCAGAAAGGGAGCCCATCAGTGCCTTGCGTGATAGAAGACTTTCTTTAGAAAGGCATAGATAACCTAGGTGAAGATTCCACTCAAAAATATTACCTTCAACTTGTAATTATCTCTCAAAGATATTTTTAGCAGTGATAAATTATGCCACCTTCTCCCATACACTTCCAGCAGGATCTTATTTCCACACATTGGGCAAAGCATTGAGAAAATCCTGGTCAAGTGAATATGAGTATATATCTGAGAGATATCTAGGCATAGCTCTGGCTGAGTATGCGGTCTGTATTTGAAAACAAAATACATATTTAAAACACTCACTGTTTTAAATGGATTCTATTCTTTTTCTCACTAACCTGAGTGTAAATATCAAGAATGTTTAGAGTTTTCAACATTTACATCATTACAAATAGTTTGTCTACAACCTCATACATTTCTGTATTTCAGGATTGTTGTTGATTTTTATTTTTCTCTATAAATGTTGGCTTCTCTTCTAAGGATTAGAGGAGCATTATTTGAGAGTCCCTGCCTTAAATGTAATTTAGAGTTGTGCAATGTCAAACCCACTGACAGATTTAGAGATTAATTTCTAGACCTCTTCTGGTGCTAGAGAAGCTCCTTAAGGTTTTGAAAATGGCAACAATATTGACTCCCTACCACTAAAGGTTACCTGTATCCACATTCACCCTAATGCAAAAGGAGAGTTTAAGTGTGGTAAATATCAACGTTGTTTATTGTTTTGCTTATGGAAAAAACTGTGCATAGAAAAAAAAAGGCAACTGCCAGAATAAGAAATAGTTTACCTCGAGAAGAACAGTTTATACACCTATGTTTTCATCTTTTTATTCAGCAAGTATAACATTATTATTACTACATTAATATTATTCACATAGAAAAAAAAAGTTCAGCAGCTTTAAATGGTCATGTCGTAAGGTCAGGTTCCTACAAAGCACACCCTGAGCCAAAGATTTGAATGTTAGCATTTTACAAAAGGAAGGATTAGAGTATGATTTGTAAGCTACTCGGATTGTATTAAGAATTGGTAGAAAAAAAATTTTTAAATATTTTGGCTGAGATACCTTTCCAAATATGTGTTTTGCTACATTTTGAAGTCAGCGCATTTTCAGGGATATTTAATCCATATGTTTCAGTGAAGCTACATATAAATCATCCAAATGTTATTTTATTACAGCTATGTGATGTCTAAAATGCCTTTTGTGCTTTTAAAAATAGTCGTTATATTTTTTTCTGGAAAGCAGCAGGTAAGTTGCCAAGAGTAAACAAATAGCAAAAGGTTTGAGTTCAGTTTGAAACATTTATCCTATTATTTTTGATTGGGTTCTGAACTTGGCAGCACACATTCCCCATTCGTGCCTACAGGGCAAAGTGAAAACAATCTGAACGCTGTATTTCCCAATTGGTTCATTGACATTTGAAAATAATGTAGTACAGACAGAATCGGCATGTTTGGCAGGTAAGTGATACTTAACATGACATTGGAAAGTTACTTCCCACCAGTTTGCAGAAGTTCACGGCCTGGAACAACATTGTACATATTACAAAACACAGGTTAGGACAGACAGCGGTTGAGGGATCCATGCTGGGGATTTATCTATTTTTCTCATGTATCTTTAGGTGGAATGGTTGAAAAATGAAGACATAATTGATCCCGTTGAAGATCGGAATTTTTATATTACTATAGATCACAACCTCATCATAAAGCAGGCCCGCCTCTCTGATACTGCCAATTATACCTGTGTTGCCAAAAACATTGTTGCCAAGAGGAAAAGCACAACTGCCACTGTCATAGTCTATGGTGAGTGACCCTTCAGGGTATCGATCTAGTTCACGTCTAACTGCAGTTTCTCATTGGCATCAGTGTCTTAACTCAAGCCAGAAGCCCTTTTTTAAAATCTCATTTTATTTTAGACAGAATCTTGCTCTGTCACCCAGGCTGGAGTACAATGGCATGACCATAGCTCACTGTAACCTTGACCTCCTGAGCTCAAGGGATCCTCCCACTTCAGCCTCCTCTGGAGTAGCGTGCACCACAGGCATGCACCACCATGCCGGGTTCTAGAAGCCCCTTTTCAATCTCTATCACTACTTGCTTGCTGCTTTTCACAGGGCCAGTGAGGTTTAATTGCTTCCCTGGTACTCATGTGAAAGGACAGACTCAGACATTCTCAGCCCTTTGTCAGTCAGCTTCTAGGAAAGCAAAGGAAGCCTCCCTGCATGCTTGCTGCTTCTGTAAGCCCTCTTCTCTCCAGAACGTGCACCACCAAGATCTAGATTGAGTTCTAAAGATGAATATGCCTCATTCAGCCTGCTGATGTTTCTGTGGATCTAGCCTCAGTCATATCATTACAACCCCTTAGAAAGCAGGAGCTGACCTATTTGCAAAATACATCAGCACAATTTTAGCTGCTTACAACTCATTCTGCTCACTCCATCTGAGGTGTGCAGAGTGAAGATACTGCCTTATCTGGCCAAGTGGCCCTAATCCTAATAATATGGTAAAGTCCAACAAAGCGACTTCTTAGGAAGCTTCCTCTCACACCCTGGTCCTTTCTAAGTCAGTTCATCTCTAAACCTATCAATTCTCTGGAAGTACTAAGCAATTTCATGCCCCATTTTGATGTGGCAAATATGCTTTTATCTCTCTAAATGGTTCAGCATTCAGTTATTTTTTAGTCATTTCATGAGCAGATTCATCTCTCCAGCTAAGGTTAAGCTCTTTGGTAGACTGAGACTGGTCTGTGTATTTACATATTTCTCACAACGTTAGACATCGAATAGTTCCTCATATTTTTGATGCTTTACTGTCTCCAAGGAAACCAGACAACCTGGGAAATATTTTGAGATTATGCTACCTCCAGAATGATATGCTCATGCCTCACCACTTCCTAGAACATAATGAAGATTTTCATCACTGTTTTAGTGTTAAAATCCATGGGCCTTGGTGTCTTATTGACTGAAGGAGGGACAGCCACTAGCAAGTATGAGGCTCATGGTACACACATCATTAAGTCATGTGTCACTTAATGATGGGGACACATTCTGAGAAATGCTTTATTACATGATTTCATCATTGTGTGAACATCGTAGAGTGTATTCACACAAACCTAGATGGTATAGTCTACTGCACACCTGGGATCGGTGGTATAGCGTGTTACTCCTAGGCTACAAACCTGTATACCATGTTACTAAACAGAATACTATAGGGAATTGGAACAAAATGGTAAGTATTTGTATATCTAAACATAGAAAAGGTACTATGAAAATAAGATATCAAAGATACAAAAGAAAAAGTACACCTGTATAGGGCACTTAACCATGAATGGAGCTTGTGGGTCTGGAGGTTGCTCTGGGTGAGTCAATGAGTAAATGGTGAGTGAATGCGAAGGCTTAGGACATTACTCTACACTGCTGTAGACTTTATAAATGCTACACATAGGCTATACTACATTTGTAGAAAAAGTAAAGTAATACACAATGTTACAACAGCTGTGAGGTTATTAGGTGATAGGAATTTCTCAGTTCCATTATAACCTTATGGAACAAATCATTACTGTATCTGAAGTCTGTCCTTGACTGAAACGTTACGGGTACATGATAGGACTGAAGGGGTTAAGAATATGGCACCCCAAAATATGTCACTTGGCATATTGACTATTTTCTACATTAAAGGTCCCTGAGAAATAGCAGGTGCAAGATCACTCTGGTAATCCTTCTGACTCTTAAAAGCAGGAGATGAGATTTTCAAATGAAAGATGCCTTCCCTATACTAGAAGGAAAGTTACATTCTTATCAAGGACAGGAAGTTGAGATCCAGAGATCTCAAGGGAAAGTTAAGATCCAGAGAATTCTGTATCAATCTTATTAAAATAAATCATAATCTTCTTTTAGCCTTACCACACAATTTAGTTATGTTTTCACAACTTACTACTCTTTGTCCAGTTCAGTATATAAGCATTCAACTCTAACTGCATCTTTGGGTCTTCATTTTCTTATGACATGTAAAAGTTCTATGAAATAAATTTTCATGTTCGTCTCCTGTTGATTTGTGTTACACCAATGTAATTATTAGGCCCAGCTGAAAAAATCCTGAAAAAGTGGAAGTAAAATTTTGCCTATCCCACAGTACCATTAAGATGGATGTGTGTTTATGAGAAGAGAAACCACTATGCTGTTCCAAAAAAATGTAGTGCTGCTTTAAAAATGTCACTTTAATTACAAGAAAGATACGTAAAATTTTTTTTGATCCTCTGATTCCTCAGAGGTTTAATTTCCGAGTCCAGATAATGGCTGTGTTGAATTGTACACAATGGCCTTTCTTAAATCACAATAAAATAATAAAATATTTTCTTCTTTTTAAATTTTATTTTAAACTGCCTGAAACACTTGATTAACAAGATTTGAAATGTAGGAAAGAAATGGGGCACAATCACAGTATGTGCCAGTCATAAATAACTAGTGAAGGCAGACTATATGTAGTTGTATTAGATAGATGTTTAATGAACATGCAAATCTCTTCCTATGTATATTATGCTTTCAATATCCATAAATACAATGAATGTGTTGTCTTTAGGAAGGATCATACACAAGTAACTTAGTAGTTAGAATTGAGAAAACAGCTCTGCACTAGGGTCAGGAATCCTGGGTCATAGGAGTATTTCTTTCACTAACTGATCTTCAGAGGGTTTTTTAACCAGGATTCTCTGAGCCCTTGCCTCGTTCATCATAAAGTGAAAGGATAAACCTAGAATGTTCAAAGACTTTTTCATCCCTGATTATTTCTCATTAAAATCCTAGCAGAACAGTATATGTATCCTAAACCCCAAATATCAGCTTGCCAGTATGCTAGTAAACAGTTTATACAGACAATTCCATCACAGGGAATTTTGTAAACTTGAGCAGGTTAAGTTGCTTTTTGGAACACTAACTGAAACCCTACCTATCCACCATCTGCTTGTCCTTTGCATAACCTCCTAAAATAACTTGTCCAAGCCTCATAGGTTGGACTCACCAGAACTTCATAGAAAACATATGTATCTAACCAGTATTTCGTATTTAGGGAGTATTTTATACATTTTTTGTTAATGTAATTTTTAGATTGCAAATATACATCCACTAGAGAAAATTTGGAAAACAGAAAAGATCAAAGAAGGAAATACCTATACCTATAATCCTGTCACCCAGAGATAGCATTAAACAAAAATTATATGTATACTATTGGTATATTCTTTTTTTTGAGACAGGATTTCACTCTGTAGCTCAGACTGGGGTGCAGTGTCACAATCTTGGCTCCCTGCAACCTCAGTCTCCTGGGCTCAAATGATCCTTTCTCCTCAGCCTCCCAAATACCTGAGACTACAGGCATGTGCCACCACACCTGGCTAATTTTTTGTAAAGATGAGGTCTCACTATATTGCCCAGACAAGCCTCAAACTCCTGGACTCAAGTGATCTGCCCGTCTAGGCCTCCAAAAATACTGAGATTATAGGCATGAGGCACTGCGCCTGGCCTATACTATTTTCTATATATGTTGTTATATATATATATAATTTTTATAATTATATTCAAAATATATAAACATTAAGTATTATATACATACTACATAAAAGTTATACATATGTAATTATGTATAATGTATCCATAAACATTACTTTTATTTAAAACATACTGAAACATTCGTGTGTTATTTATTTATTTATTTAGTTAGTTAGTTAGTTATTTAGAGACAGGATCTCACTGTGTTGCCCAGGCTGGAGTGTAGTGATGTGATCATAGCTCACTGCAGCCTCTACTCCTGGGCTTAAAGGATCCTCCTGCCTCAGCCTCCTGAGTAACTGGGACTATATACATATGCCAACATAACCAGCTAATTTTTTTAATTTTTGTGGAGATAGAATATTGCTTTGTTCCCCAGACTGATCTTGAACTCCTGGGCTCCAGCAATCCTCTCTCCTTGGCCTTAAAGTGCTTGGGTTACAAGTGGGTGCCACTTCACTCAGCCTCATGTACTATGAAATAGCCTCTACAGTATCATTTTTAATGGCTGTCCAGGAGTCCGTCACATGAACCTATAAGGCTGGCTTTGCCATTTTCCTGTTTTTCAACATTATAGTTGTTTCTAATTATTCATATTTATATAAAATAGTTTCCATGAAAAATACATTTCTGTCTGTAAAATATTCATGATTATTCCCTATTCAATAGGTTTCTAGAAAACAAAATGTTGGGCAAATGATATGCACATATAAGGTTTGCGTTACTTGAATGACTAATACACTTATTTAGTACATAAGTGTATTATGCATATACTAGTTGCATAATATTTTAATTACAAGCAAATTATTTTTGTTAGAAATTGTAAAAATTTCATAGACAGATTATTGAAGTATTAAAAAATACATATCAAAGTGTTTTCTAAAGAGATCTGCAGAAGTGGAAAGTGTGCAGTGTTAGGGTATAGGCTATACAATCACATATGCTGACAGCTCATCAGACATCACAATTGGCCTTTACACACAACATATGTGTTTATTTCAAAACTAACTGATTGCCAAGTAACTCAAATTGCCATTCAATTTGTTTATAACTCCAATACTATAAGATTTTATTTTTTAACCAGGTTCACTGGTTTGTGCAACTGAATAAAAATCCTTAAAACGTTGTAAAGTTCACCTATGTTTAAAAAATCAATCATCTGGTTTTATTTCTTTCTGAAAAAGAAGGTAAATGATTTTATTCTGTTCCCATGCTATAGCTTCACTTGCAGGCTCGTCATTGAGATGTAAACATTTATTATTTGAGACGAGCTGTCAAAAGTAGTTTTGGAGCTTGACTAGGTAAGGAGATATGTATATTTTTTAAGAACACTGGCCAAGGAAAAGAGAACACAGTCCAATTTATTTTTCTGAGTAGGTAAGTAAATGTTGGTAAATAATATTTTTTCTCCATCTGTACAATAAAACTTTGGATAAAATGATAACCATGGTCTCTTCTGGCTGTGAAATTTTGGATTTTTGTAATGGTCACTTGGAAAATAACTTTGTTTACATATTGTATCTGTTTTATGTGTCCATGTGTGTTGTACGTGCATACATGTTTAATCCATTTTCCACTGTTTGCCTCCTTTCAGTCAACGGTGGCTGGTCCACCTGGACAGAGTGGTCTGTGTGTAATAGCCGCTGTGGACGAGGGTATCAGAAACGTACAAGGACTTGTACCAACCCGGCACCACTCAATGGGGGTGCCTTCTGTGAAGGACAGAGTGTGCAGAAAATAACCTGTACTACATTATGCCCAGGTAAATAAACCAGTCCTCTCATTCCAAATATCTCCCATTATTCATGAAATATGTTTTTAGAGAACAGATACAGAGTCTTTATTCTTGATCTGAATGTGTGATAAACATAATTTAAATCTGGCCTACATTCAATGTTTACATTCCTGCAAAATCACATATTTTCCTCCAAAAGAATACTTAATGTTCTTACCAAAACATGTAAAATTGTATAAAACAGGAGATTAAACACTACTGTATATGATCCCTTTATATTATTCAGCAAAACTGCTGGGGCCAAGACTGCAGATTTTGTAATTCAAGGGATATGAATGGCACTGAAAGCCACACATTTTAGGAATAACAATCCTTTGTCTTCTGAAAAACATAGAAATTAATTGGAACTGAAATTTAGAAAATGTTTAAGACTGAAATCTTTTATATTTGGTGTCAGTTTCTGGTCAAGAGCAAATATAACATTTGAAATATAAGGAAGGCAAAGTTTTGTGGCACAGGAGATAATGGATTCTGAAACTAAAATGCAGTCAGTTCTTCATTATCTGTAAATGTTGGTCATCTATTTTTTTGAGTTATTTGCAGTGGTACCTATGGCAAGATTGCTTCTCTCCACCTCTTACCATCTTTCTGTACTATCTCAAAATGGTACCAGCTCTTATCCATAGGTAAATCGAAGATAATATTTGCCAAAAGCAAAAACAAAATTCATTAAAATGCTTGGTTACACAATATAGTCAAAGCTAAGCTAAAATTATTTAGAAATAATCCATAAATTTACTGTGTTCATTGGAGTCGCTATTGTGTTTTCTGTTTTGATGTTTAGATGCACAGCCACCTCCTCCTTTGGCTTAATTTTATCCCATTTATCCTTTAATAGAACCTTTCTCAGAGATGGGCTGGAGAAATAAACTGGGGGGATATACATAATCTACACTTTACATTCCCAAGTGTTGATTTCCAAGTATCAGAACAGTCTCCCACAGTGAACCCTTTGAGCTTAGCTGGACTTCAAATTTCAAATTTTATTCTGTAGGTGCTGACTCCCACAATTAAAAATGCTCTGATCAATTTGAGTTGAAATGGCAATATGGTGGCAGTGTTTTGGTATACTCAGTTAGTGTAGGTCAAAGCAAATGTTTTTGCTCTAAGTTGTTGGGACTTTCTTATAGCCAGTTCTGTATGACTAAATTATTAATGCTTTTTTATTTTTCATATGGGTATGTTTATAGCCATATACACATTATACATAATATAGTTACATAATAAATTGAATGTGAAATCATGTAGATCTCAAACTATGTAGACTATTAAAATTGATACCATTTTTATCAATATATAGATATAAAAGATTATGTTCAATAAATGATATTTAGCATTGTTTTACATTGAATCCTTGATAATCATTATTTGTTTCAGGGAAAATTAATATTTAAAAACTCTTATTTCAACACTTTTATCCTATTTGTGTGAGAAACTTAAAAATCTACCTTTTCAAGTATGACTGAAATGTACTATATCCTTTTTCAAACTGGGATTTAAGTTGTGTGCTTTTAAAGTAGAGATATCTGACTTCATTATCCTTAAAATTGCTGACAAGCCAGCCACCAAAATTAGGAAGAAAGTAAATTGCCTCTAAGTGACGGAATCATAACAAATATTAGGGACTTACCTAAATATTTTTTAAATAAAAATAGAGACACAAACATCATCAAATAATAAATGAAAAATAGTCTTTTCATGAAAACATTACAGAAGGCTTCAGCAGAATCAAGTAGCCTGGATAAAAAGAGTAAAATAAAAAGACTATATAAAATATAGATGAGAGAGAAGAGGTAACTATACCAGCAGGATGAATGAATGGAAGGTAGGAGAAATTTCTTCTCCAATGTATCAGCCTCTTCTCTGAATTCCCACACAAGCTTGCTTTCACTGTCCACATGGCACTAGGAATAAAGGAGTCTCAAATCCAAAGAGAGCCCCCTAATTTTCTTTTTCAACTATTGCCTCCCAGGTTCAAGTGATTCTTCTGCGTCAGCCTCCTAAGTAGCTGGGACTACAGGTGCAAGCCACCATGCCCTGCTAATTTTTTGTATTTTAGTAGAGACGGGGTTTCACCATGTTGCCCAGACTGGTCTCGAATCCTGAGCTCAGGTACTCAGGTGGGTACCTTGGCTTCCCAAAGTGCTAGGATTACAGCCATGAGCCACCATGCCTGGCCCGAGTCCCACTAATTTTCAATACAAAACCCAGAAGCTCACCCATTAATAGGAAAAGGGAAACTACCTTGACCTACTTTTACACAGCTCCTGGTGACAACTTTGGCTTTTGTATGTCTCATTCAGCCTCCCTTGGCTTGGTCAGGGAGGAAACACTCATACACTCTAGGAAAAGCTCACAAAACCCGAATGATGGAGAAGTGCAATTTCCAACAATTGAAATGAATACAGTGCTTCTCAGCAGGGCATGTTTTTCTTGTTTTGCTTGTTGCATTATACTTGAGCTCTGCTCCATCCCTTAAGCAGCTGCCTCTCCCTCTGACCTGCTGCTGCATTTTTTCATGGCAGTGGATGGCAGGTGGACATCATGGAGCAAGTGGTCTACTTGTGGAACTGAGTGTACCCACTGGCGCAGGAGGGAGTGTACAGCACCAGCCCCCAAGAATGGAGGCAAGGACTGCGACGGCCTCGTCTTGCAATCCAAGAACTGCACTGATGGGCTTTGCATGCAGAGTAAGTCAATTTAAGCAAATTGCAAACACTGAGGCGGGTGGAGATAGAACCATTTGGATTTTTTTTTAAGGTAACATTAGAAATAAAGAATTATTTGAACAAAAAGCAATAATATAGCAATATTCTAGCTTGCTCTCAAAATTGGAAACAGCTAATTTTCCAGGAACTGGAATGAATAGTAACTATGTCCAGTTAACAAATAGCATCCAATATTGCTTTTTCATGAGCAAGGGTTGATTCAATCACTTATGTGGAGGGGAACCGTTACTTAGTTTTATCAGAAAGCACAAAAGGGCACTCTAGATTTCTCATAGGGTCAAAGCAAGACTTCCAAAATGTAAGCTGTTTATTCTTAATTCATGGCAGGTACCTAGCCAATATGTCCATGGAATGTAAAACATATGTAAAAATAACAAACATTTCTGTAGGTAGATTTACTAACTTAGAACACATGTTTAATGAGAACATCCTCACAACCTCTTGAAAATTCTGGGTTTGTATTAGAAATTATAATGTGGGTATGATTTAGTTTATTTAAAGGAAATAAATATTAATAAAGCATAAATGTTTAAAGTAAGTGTAGAAGATTGGCTGAGGAATGTAATGGGTGCTATAAGCTAGAAATTCTCCATTTTTCATGTCTCTGTTCCTTAGATTTTGTTAATTACATGGTAATTTGATTTCCATAATTGTAAACTCTTACCCCTTTACTGAGGAGCCCTTGGATGTACACAATTTACCGTCTCTTTTTATGACCAATAATTGAGGTATTCAGAAGTATTCTGAAATCATACCTATTCAGATTAACGGATCAAATAATGTGCTATCTTTGGAGCTTAATGGTGGTCTAGTGTTGACATTTCTCATAATACATCACACATTGCCAGCAGAATACAAGCAGCCGAAGGTATTTGTGCAAAGGTATTTGTATTTGTCATTTAAGAATAAAATACTTTGTTTTTACCACACTTAGAAAATTCTGTTGACTTTTCAGAGTCTATACACATAGGAACCTTTAAAAAGAAATCTTATTTAAAATACAAATACATAATTATGTTGCTCACACAGAATGAAAATCCAATAGGCCTCTTATTTTTATGTTCAGGGCACATTGCATTACTCAAGAATGGGCTACTGCCGAGTGTACAAAGCACAGCTCCTGGTAATGATGCCACTGTGAATCTCACGAGTTTGCACCAGAAATGCATGAATGAATATCAGTTTTGCTAACCATTTATCCAGAGGTACAAAGTTTGTTTGAGTTGAGGATGAAATTAACAACATACCACATACAAGTTAGTCTTTTTGACCTTTTTATCACTTGGTATTTTTCCTTTACTGTAGAACAAACTGATTCGTGTGCTTGCAAAGTAGCAATATTTGGAGTTTTTCTCTTTGTGTTTCACATTCTCTCTCAATATACTATTTCAATCTTGGGAGATTTAATACCTACTGTTTCTATTGTACATAGTTAGAAATCCTCAGAAAAACCTGTCTAATGAAGAATACAATGCCACAAGACAGAACCTTTTATTAGTAATAGAAAAATGACACATTTTAAATTATGACAAACAGAAACATGACATATTCAAACTAAGACTTTCATGACATAGCATGAAGCTTCTAGATCATTTAGCTTCTAGATCATTTCTTATAGTATTCATAGAACGTTTTCCTTATGGTTAGGTATTTGCCAGTAATGATGGCCTGAAGTGTGCGTTGTGTGTGTATAGACAGGGAAGAGGAATGAGGCTACAGGACGGTTTTGTTAGTTTTTTGTTTGTTTTTATTTATTTGTTTTATCATTGTCACTTGTTTAATGGAAACATTTTGTTGTTTGGGTTAAAACCATTTCATTTAAAAGCTAATTATTTCTGCAGCTTTGATTTGCTATAGTAACAATCCCTACTAAGTCAATAAACTCTTTCATCTGTTTTCCTGTATCTACTCTAGTCCAACAGAGAATTGTAGTCTAGACCACTATTGATTTCCTCAGTGATAAAAACCAGAGATATTCTGCACTGTGTAATTATAGTATTTTACAGTGAAAGCTATAGTTTCTGTTTACCAGTTAGCTTGATGTTTCTGGGACAGTATTACTGCCAAAGTCTTGCAAAGAAGTAATACCATTTGGCCATTATTTTGGAAAACAAAGGCTTCTAATAGCAAAACTGCAAAGTTTGCAAGAGCGACAAGGTTAATGTTAAGAAAAAGAATGGGAATAGAAAAGGTAGCCAGAAAATTGCAACCAGCAATTAGGATTACTTAATACTTATTTCCTTTGGGAGAATTAGTGTCTGGAATGTATATTAATAAATAGTCCTCCGATTATATTGCAATGTTATCTCAAAATAAAGCTAGTCTACTTTCAGTAAACCAGGTAAGAACTACAACCTCTGAATCTATTCAAAATTGTATATAAATTCTGACATAAATATAGGTGTACTGCTAGATAGGAGAAATTCAGAGTTCATAATGGATGTGAGTAGAATTCAGTTACCTAGATAGTGTTGTATGACATTTTTTCAAAAGCTAAGTTGGTACTTAGAGGAATACAATGAGAAATATATAGAAAATATTACTGTTGATGTTTATTTGTTCAAAACAAATTCAAATACATTTTTCCATTAAGCAAGTAATACAAACACCTTTGATTGAAAATATGTTGAAATGTTAGATAAAATGTTGCAAACTTTATAGAGACATACATGTGCATGCAGAAAGAGGGATTAAAAGAGGTCCAAAATAAAGAAGATAGAGAAATTCTCAAATGCCACAAATGAAGCTGTAACTCTAAGCTAGAGAGGTAACTGTGTGAGTGGATACCAAAACAACCAGGATGAGGATTGGACATGGACATAGCTTCCAGGGACTGGAAGTTAGGGTTTCAGTTTTGGCACAGGGACAGAAGTCCTGGCTTTGTGAGACCTAGACTTGGAAGTAGGAACCCTAAAGAAAGCTGAAACTCACAAGTGGCTGACCTACATCACAAGCAACAACTAGAACATTTTTGCCCATCAGCCCAGAGAAGACAGAGGAAAAGTCATGGTAGGAAAAGGAAAAGGAAGACTTCATTTAAATAAAATCTATAGTAAAACTATAACGTCACCTAGCTCTGGTATGGAATCTGAGATACTGTGATGGAAGCAAAGCACAAAAGATGCGTAAGCTTCTAGGACCCCAGCAGAGCAAACACTAAGCCATTCTCTAGGTTTCCTTCCATAATGTGACAAAAATAGGGCAGGCCTGTCAATAAGCTTATAATACAAAGTTTCCCATCACTCATGAAAGTAGTAAACTTGTAAGGGAGAGTCAGCAATAATAAGTGAGTTAGCATTCTACTAACATGAACTCATAGAGCAATCTGAAGGAAGCTAAAAGTAAATGTAAAAACAAACCATATTTTTACAAGGAATATAAGCACAAATGAAATGACAGAATATTGTTTAAAAGACAGACTTGGAGAAAAAAAACAAATGGAATGTCTAGAGAAGAAGGCCTAATGATTGAAATATAAAACTCATTGGAAGATGAAAAATCAGATTGATAAAGCTGAAGAAAGGCTGGGCGCAGCAGCTCATGCTTGTAATCCCAGCACTTTGGGACCCTGAGGTGGGCAGATCACCTGAGGTCAGGAGTTCCAGACCAGCCTGGCCAACGTGGTTGAAACCCCGTCTCTACTAAAAATACAAAAACTAGCCAGGGGTGGTGGTGGGCACCTGTAATTCCAGCTACTCAGGAGGCTGAGGCTGGAGAATCACTTGAATCCAGGAGACAGAGGTTCCAGTGAGTGGAGACTGCGCCATTGCACTCAAGCCTGGGTGACAAGAGCGATACTCTGTCTCAAAAAAAAAAAAGCAAAAGAGAAAATTAGTAAACTGGAATATAGATTGTAAGAAACTTCCCACAATGCAGGGAAGTTTTCTGAATATGTGAGTAAGTGTATATGTAAAAGGGAGACTAAAACTCATGGAGGATAGAATGACAAAATCCAACATTTATAGCATAAAAGCAAAATTTAAAAGATTTTCAGATAATCAAGATGGAGAGGATTTACTACTCATAAACCTTACTGAGTAAACTACAGAAAATGAAAAATTATTTTTTTCTTCAATTTAAAGAACAATTGGTTCTTTAAAATAAGATGAGACCAACTGAGGATCACTGAAAATAAGATGGAGCTAAATGGTAGACAACATTATCATGGAATATGAGAAGTTGCAAACTAAATTAAAAATTTCCATTTTCCTTATGTGCTCAGGAAAAGAATAGTAACACTATTTACGTTAGATGTCACTGATTTCACTGCTGTAGTTAAAATGTGAAGACTGAGTACAAACATAAAAATTGAATGTATAAATTCAAAATAAAAATTTTAAGGATAGGAAATTGGCAAAAGAAAAACCATAGTAAATGAAAACAGTCAATGAAATGGTGGAAATATATCAGGGATCATAATGTAAATGAATTAAACTCACCTGTAAAAGGAAATCCAAAATTATAGCAAAAAACTCAGTTTTATTCTATTTATGAGTCACATACTTTAATCATAATTATAGGAAAAGATTGAAAGTTTAAAAATGGAACTTAAACTATTGTTCAGTATTTATTTTACCATGTCCAATTAATGTTTTTTACTGTCTGATTGGGCTATTCTTTATTCAATTCCATTTCCCATTATGCCTAAGTAATATGTATTAGAGGTCATTTTTGGCCTATTGTTTAAATATAGAGTTTTGTTTTTCATGGGCTTTATAGTTTTTAGAATATTTAATTTTCAACTGAAAAATTATAAGTTTTCTAAATTGTTTACAAGTTTGTTAATGTTTGAATAAGACATGTTAGAAATTTATGTCTTTCCTCAAATTTAACACCAACTGAAATTTTTCTTGAAAAGGCTTTGAAGGTTACTTATAAAACTAATGAATTTAATGTTAAGCAAATGCGTAGTTAAGTGTAAACTTTTGTATTTTGCTAATAGAATAAAAATTTTTATGGGG